ACAATAAATAAGCTCAAAAGACCTATAAATATTAACCACAAATACGATTAACCAGGGCTGTTTCATGTATACACAGGGCCTCTCAGGAAAACCGAGATAATGGAAGCTTCTTTTTAATTTATGCTCTATAAAAGACACATATTATGAGTCTATGTGAGCAACATGGGTTTAGAAACATGAAACCATTGCTTTTGAGCTTCCAATGTGGCTGCAAAGAATTAAGAGATCATTTCCATCTCTCAAAATATCATGAAAAACTAACTTAATAGCCTCCTCTTAAAGGAGCTTTCCTCAGGCTACTTGGCGATGCATTAAGTCTTGGTATTGTCAAAAAAAATCCAAACAGGACAGCGCTGAAGGTTCGCTGACATTGGCTGGATTATAATGATTAACTCCTCAGATGGTGTGCCACAGAAGTCATCAAATGCAAGTATAATTGAAAATAAAAACCAGACAAGTATTTAAGTATTGATAGTAAAATGGACAAGCTATATAGTCGAGACACCACTCTAGATGCATAGCATCAGTGTATGTCATAAAGGATTTAAAAGTTTAATTCTCTAGGGATTATAAGAGATTTCAGCTGGCATATTTTTTTCCTAGAAATATTGTGATTACTCTCCAATTATTTTATTGCTATGGAATATGTTCTCTATGGATGGGTTTACTAGAATTTGAATTTTTGATAAGTGTGCGGAAGATTGAAAAGGAATATAGAAAATTGGGCTCCATCCTTTAATTCTCCAGAATATTCCAGTCCCAGGTTTCAGAAATGAGACCCTCTTATGGAACGCAGCCTTCTCCGCTGACACAAAGACTTATACTACGACAATGTTTACTGAAACGGGGCTCACGTGGGCAGGAGTGTTTGCTGAAACGGGGCTCACGTGGCACTGCGCTGGAGTCCTCGTGCCACAGGGGTGAAGTGCTTGCGTTTTAACCAAAGCTTTGTGGCTTGAACCCACCAGCGGGAGAAAGCTGTGGCAATCTGTACCCAGAGAGATCTTCGTCTGGGAACCACTAGGGGAAGCTCCTCTCTGTCGGGCAGGGTCACCGAGTTGGAACTAAGTCCCCGCACACAAGAGCATGCACTTCTTCATCCTCTAGCGATTGTAGGTGGTCCAGGGAGTATTTCCTAGTTTAATAATGAAGGTAACTATGCTAACACATAGACCTGCTACTGTTCACTGCGCACTGATTATGTGCCAAGCACAAATCACTTTAAAGTCTTCTGAAGACTGTTATGTGCATTCAGGTCACTAGGCTTTTGGGGTGATGGTTATGGAAATGTGTGGAAGTGGAATGTGGTGATTGTTGAATAATTAACGATAGGTTAATATTGCTGAATTTTGACAAACATGTAGAGATGTCAAATATTTTTTATGTACATTTGTGTGTTTACCACACAAGCGACTATTCGGTAACTACTTGTATTATCTCTGGAATTGTTCTGGTGGGAGTTAGTCCTGTGAAAGAGTTACAATCTCAGAAACCCAAAGAGGCAGTTCTGCCCTGTCCTGTAGGATACTATGAATTGAAATCACCTCGATGACAGTGAGTTTGGAGTTTTGTATTTGTATTATCTCCAGTGAACAGAAAGGGAATTCAAACAGGGAGATGAAGTAATGTGCCCCAAATCACAAAGCTGGAAAAAGGCCAAGTGAAGATTCTAACACAGGAAGATGAGCTGAGATGTACGCCTTGTCTTTGCAGGGGTATAATTTGTCTCTCTCTTAAAAAAAAAAAAGTTGGCCTCATAAGAAAGCTAAGAATATGCAAGTGGGCAGATATGGAATAAAGTCATGAAAGAAGTCTGTCAACATAAGACAGGCTGGATGAACAAGCTAGAGAAGAAATCAACGGGACTGACAGTTACCGGGGGACATGGGAGAAGGGGAGGTGGGGGGAAAGGAAGTGGTGTTAACAAACCTAGGGACAAGGGAACAAGTGATCCAAGTTGGTGGTGAGGAAGAGGTGGGAGGCCTGGTAGGGCATGATCAAGGGTAATGTAACAAAAAGGAATTGCTGAAACCCTGGTGGGAACTGAGCATGATAGTGGGACAGGACAAAAGTCAAGGGAAATAAAGAGCTGGGAGGTAAAAGGCATTTATAGAGGTCTAGATAGAGACATGTACTTATGCAAATATATTTATATATGAGGATGCGGAAATAGAACTATGTGCATATATTTATAGGTTTAGTATTAA